AAGACCACATCTCAATGCTTGTCACACTGAGAACCTCAAAACTAATACCATATTTCAGTTCATTCCACTTTTGAGTGAAAGAGCGGTAGGTCAGTCAGTAACTTTGGCCTTAATTCAGTTTTGCGTATCTCACTTTATGAGCACTTTGTTCAGTTTTATTTCAATACTCCACTTGCTTTATATTCTTAAAGTTATGCCACATCTGAAGAGTTGACTACCTTCATTTTTCACTAACGTCAACATAAAATTTCCATATAATTCTCACTGTAACTATCTGAATTTCTAATATTATACATTCTACCAAGTGTTGCTCTGACAGAAGAGTTGATCTTTATAGTTCCAACTCATAAAATATAATTCTGCGCATTATCTAAAATCTTCGTCTTATCTAAACATGTTTCAGAAAATGGATCTCAGTTGGGACGAACATCTTTCGTAATTTTTTTTACATCTGAAGAGGGAAACAAATCCAGTTTTCAGAACACTGTGATAGGAATAAACCGAGACCATGGATAATTTCTACAACAAATATCATGTTTATGCTAACACACCATCATTAGAAACCTTTATATTTAATTTAAAAGATTTTGAGACAACCTTACAATTCATCAATGAAATTCCCTCCAATGCATGTTGCATGCAGCACCCATAATTTAATAAGCCTAGCAACATCAGGTGAAGAAGCTCTTCACTAAGTAATTTTCTCTGCCCTTCTGTCACGTCCACTTTCTTTGATACAGATATATATCTAACACTCCATTCTCAAACTTCTTATGTTTCCTGAAATGGCAAACTCACTGCTTCTTTTCAGTTTGTCTTCAGAGATGTTTTTCTTGAGACAGATTTCTGACGTTTCCTTCAAAGGGCCTCCAATGTCAAAACAAGATAGAAACTCGACAAATGCAGTCTTCCCGTCCTCTCTGAACGCGACTCTTGCCTCTGATTGAGGTTTTGTCTCTACAGCAGCAATCAGTTTCCTCACGCCATTCACTTCCCTTTCTGATGCATGCAAGAGCACAGACAGCGTCTGCAAGAAACAAATCATTCCTCATGATGCAACTCCACAGAGTGGACCTATTATTACAGCCCCGACTTTCAGTGTAAAACCACTATTCACACGCTAAATGTTGTCAAATGTTTCAAGTACATACCTCGGCCCTTGTGAAACTGCATCCTGTTACATAAGGTGCGGAAAGTAGTGGTTCTATGCAAATGGATTTCATGTTCTGAATTTTCTGGAGACCAGATATATTTCAAAAGACCTTTGGCTGGCAAGCTCCACAGATTTAATCCCACCAGATTTTTCATGTAGGGCCTACTCAAGGGATCTACTGTATACATAAATGACCTTTCTCCAATAATAAATATCTTATCAAAACCCACAATACAACAGTACCAGCAGCGAACATTCAACATCAAACGTGTCACTTTGTAACAAATAACTACGGCATTCAAAAATAAAGAGGAATTTCTTCCTCCGAGTTTTAAAACATGGACTTAAAAACGTTCATCATCCCTAGCCTAGTCACTAATTGAACAATCACGGCAATTTTCATCTACGATTCTTTCCAATGATGAGAAATATCGTGAAAACTGACACTGTTTTCCTCCGCAAAGACCTACAACCTTCCTACGCCATAGGATCATTGCGAAATAAACATAAGAACCAACGCGAGGGCTTACCTGTAGTGAGTTGAGAACATCAGCTACAACTGTGTTGTACGTTGGGGGTACCTGATGCTCTTGGTGAACAAACTGATAGAAAGACACAAGCCTCTGTAATTGCTGAGCCATCTGAAGCAACGTTTTACTGCTGAAGTCCAGGGAACTGGAATCTGAGTAACAAATGCATAATAATTTGAATGTCAACTTCTACACATTATGCATCTATTCTCCATTACAAAGCGTTACTTTATATTTGTTCCATATCTAACTCAGCACAGTCTGGTAAGTGCCAGCCACCCATACTCTTGCATGAATACAACAAAACTAATCAAGATTGGTCTATAATTGGATCTAAATCATCAAATATAAGAAAGAGATTACCTCAGATAGCTCTAATCCTAGTACAAATCAATGACCACACTATTCAAAAATTGTAATAAGTAGAATTCAACTGAAAACAGCATGACAATATTATAAAGTAATGCATTTTCAAAATGCATTACAATCTGTGCAGCAGTCCCTCATTTATGCACAGACATTAAAGCAAAACACCATTAACCTAAACTGAAAAGCTCAACTTGAGATTAACATATTCAGATCAATAAATATTTTTTCAGGTGACAGTAAGCACATTGGATGGAATTTAAATTATCCCACAAAAATTTTATTGTACTTTAAAAAATGTAAAATACACCTATAATAATAAGCAAGTCGCCTGCACGTCAAAAAGGCCGTACAGAGAGCAACATTAAATAAAACAACCAAAACAACTACTTCTAATAGTTTTTAACCCATTTACTAAAATGAAATATCGTCATGCTACAGACTCTAAAATACTCCTGAAGTACCCTGCATTCAGCTGTTAACCTTCTCACACAACACTAAAGACAGCGCCTTCTTCGCAACATCTGACATAAACATTTTATTCCAATCTTTACAGTTTTCAGTGTCTACAACGCTTGTTCAAAAACATCTACTAAAATGGATGACATCCTTTGTTCTATCAGAAGTACAACTGATATTTCTAAGCCCAGATTCTTAACCTTTTCACTGTTATAGAGAAAATAGTTTTGCAAGTACGCACTGTGCTACAACATTTATCTTTCTTACCTGTCAGTAAATATACTGACATAGTTTAGCTTAGGCTTATCGTAATAGAGGACCATCATCGATTGTCTTACACTTTTCAATTGTAAATATTAGAATGATGTATTGAAATGTGTGGGGATAAAACACTGTAAGGGTATCTAACCATACACAAAATGGTTAATGAACAGACAACTGATACAGTTTCAATATCAGCGTTAAAGGCTACCTGTAAAATTTCATGGCAGTGACGAGCACAGAGACCTACAGTATGACAGCAGAGATGATTCATGATTCACACAGAACTACCTATCATTTAGCAAGTCGCAATCTGCGACCAACAACAAGGATAAAATAAACTATATTGCTACGTACTTTGTCACTTATCTCACCTTGTCCAATCAATTTTTCAACAACAACACTTAATGCAGCATCCAGAGCATCGGGAGTAATATATTTACTGGTTGACAACATCTCAAGAGTCTGAGTTCGTACGTCATTCGTTTTTAGTTCCTGTACTGTCTTTCGTACCTCCTCAATCAACTTATCATCAGAATCTTCTTCCTTCAGGAGAACCTTCAGTTTCTTCAGCAAGTGAAGGTCTCTAGCTCTGTTACTATTTTTATCACTGCAACAAAGAATATCTAATATGTGCAGTAACAAAATACACTATGTATCTGCGACAGAATTCATACAGCCTATAAATAAATTTCATTATAGCAAGCAAAGTCATCAACACTCAATTTCTTAACATAACACATATGGAAAATATATAACACAAGAGCTTTCATCTGGCTCCATCATAATAAATTATAATTTGCTGAGACTTTATTCTAGAACTTGCAATTTTGCTACCAGATGAAGGATTCAATTTTTTAATATTATCCAAGCCCGAGTACTGCCCAGCCCATGCATAAGCTATTTATAGCTAGTGATCCATAAAACTTTTGTTAACCCACATTCTGTGGCTCTCTCTATTCTACGAGAAGAAATAATGCATTCCAGAACGTTTATTTGTTTGTTCGGCTGAACGTACATTAGTATCTTTACTACAAGTATAAAATCAGATGACAAATCAGACACATCTGAACAATGTTAGATTCACACATACCGAAGCACCTAGCAGAATCGATTAGAATTATTGCAATGAATAAATTCACTTTGCACTTGAAGAAACACCAAATATTAAGTGATAATCTTTGGCAAGTCACAGAATCCATCGCAAAACAAACGTGACTGGTGGCAGCAAGGAATAAGGACTAATGAACACATACCTCAGTGCAAAGTGGAAGGGTACAGAGATCTCCTTCACTAAACCACTTGGATCAATAAAAACACAAGAAAACTGGCATCTGTTGCCACCTTTCAATGGAATGTTGTTTAGACCCACAAGGCCATAACCCATATGTAGCAGCCTGCAAGCACGAAGGTTACTGCTGTTACATGTGCGTAAGATGGACTTCACAATCTACACGAAAAACTTAACATTCAGAGAACTAGTCAAAAAATTCCTTACTTTTATAACATATATTTATAGACGCGGACTGGATTACTCTGTCCTTAGGTTTTCATGGCTGATGTATAACTTTGGCTTCCAGGGATGAGGTTGAATGATGAAAATTACCCGTTTTTGGCAAACACTGCAGTTGTCATTATTAAGCGAATATGTAACAGCTGATCATCTTTGGAAGACTTACAGCCTACTCTTCTGCTTCACCAATCAGCACCATTCAGCTCACTACCTACTACCTGCCCTACATAAGGCTTCCAAAAGAACCCAACTCACCCTAAAGATGGCAACAGAAATGTTTGCTGAAACAGGTATTTTCAACATAGCTCATCTATGGAAGCTGAAACAGTACAGTGGATTCAAATGGCTCATAAGAGGATCTAGTGGGAGGTTCTTTCAAACATAATAACGAACATCTGCGTAGAAGTCTGCATGGACCAAAATTTTAGAACTTTACAAGGACCGAAGCTAGATTTCCTTTTGATCTAATCCGGATAAACCCCAATCTTTATGGCAATTGGCCCTGACTATCGCGTCAACGATACAACTTTATTTTAATGCATAAATGTCAATAACCCTTAATGAATATTTGAAGACACTGTAAGAACATCTGGAATTCCCAGCAATTTTCACGTGTAGTACAAAACTCACGGGGCAATTTATTAACGTGCACGAACCCAAACATTACCTGTGCCGCCCAGCCTGTGCAGATCTCTGCTTCTGGGTTCCATATGGATAACTTCCAAGCTAGTTAACAAGCTATTAGCTTCTCAAGGACTATGCTTCATGGTGCTAGTTACATCAAAGATGAAGTACAAAGCATATGAAATATATTTTTTTAGTCAAATATTAATTTGCTATATATTTATTTATTTACATTGTATTTAATGAGACTGTCAGTAGCTTAAGCTTGTAGTGTTGAAGCTACATAACAAAAAAAGATGATCATTCAAAACGCCTTTAAAATAGAATGTGTTATCTTGTCTCTCAAAGTGAATTTTGGTCCAAGTTAGACTTCTTATCACATGCAAGCAAATAATGCATGGAAATTTGAAAATTTCAGTACCTCATACCTAAGGCATCGGGTTGTATTTCAGTGTCATGTTGTCGATCTATTAAAATTCAATATTGACTCTCAATCTTCACTTAGATGCACTATGTACTTCACGTCCTTAAGTCCTTAAGATATTATATCTATGTCACCACACGAGTTATAAGTGGTGACATCTGATGATGGGCAAATAGCTCAAAACATGTCATAAGAAATTAACATCATAAAATAAATATTACGCCAAAGGGAACGATTACTAATTTGTAAACTGTTGCACGAAGACTGAGAATCAAAGCTGAAATTTAATGCTGACAACTGATGAATTATTCTCCATTCTTCCTACATGTACAGCAAATTACAAAAGAATCCAAGGTGTTGTTACTCTGATTAGTTATCAGCACCTTCCACTTTTGCTTGCTGTAAACTTGGCAACTCTGGGTCCCTGCTGCATCGCCCATATCTCTATGATGCCTTGCTTAGGTACGTAGATGACGAGAAACAACGCCATTCGCGGCTGACGAGTATTCCTAGAGCTGATGCCACGTTGCCTTGTTTCTTCTTGAACTTCAAGCCACCCACACTGAGCATCACGATATCCTGCATTAGCAAACCAAACTACAATTTCTACATCATATATCTGGACATAACGAACTGACAAGTCAATGCTCTCTCTTGTAACAGAATCTCTATGTTCATCACCCATTAACACAAAGGCCAGTGAAAAATCCTACCTTGAGCTAGTCCAGGACATTCTCTTTTAACATTATCTACATAACTGTACCAAAACGCTAATAAAAACTGTGCACAAGAAACTTACTTTGTAGTTGAGCAATATTTCTGTTAGTTAACCTATGGGTATACAATTTTTCTGTTCATACTTCTGTACCAGAACTAATAATTACTTTAAAAATAGTTCACACGATTTTCATCTTTCTACCACAAAGTATGTAAAAACGAAATGTTTTATTTTCACAGACGTGTAGCTCTGTAGCTCAGTCTTTGATCTTTGTAACAGAATGTGGCTCACAGAAAAAATGTTCAAGTGTTTCTGCAAATTAAAACAGAAAATCAAACTGCAAATCTGATATCTGTTTAGGCCTATAGGTTAGACGTAATTTCTTTCCAAAACTTTACTTTGATTTGAGATGCTTAAGCTGCTAAAATTCAAGACTGCCTCACATTTAGGTAGTTACCGTAACCGCAAAACGTAATTCGGAGCTTGTTCAATAACACAAAACAGAGAATAAAAAATGAAATGATATTACAGTACAACATACCCTTCCACATACGAATTGCCACTCCTTTTAGATTATCTATCAGAATGACTCGTCCCAGGCTGTCCGACACTATGGACAGTTTCCTATCTGGAGATATCACCACCCTATCTCCATGCCTCAATAGATCACACAACCCAAATCTGAAGAAAAAAAAATCAAGCCTCAAATAAAAAACATCAGAAAATAAAACATAAACTGCACAAAAGCCACAGGTTTTTAGAAGTCAGTCACACAGAGCTCATGATTCAATACAATGAATAATTCTTTTGGAATACATGAAAGAGAACAAATTACTTGACAATTGTGGCCTTCTGAGTTACTGATGTCATGTCATCTTGCAGGTGGTTACCAGTGTTTTGGAGGACCTGAAGATAGAGGCAATAAGTTCCTCTGTAACACTGATAACTCTACCTATAAGATTACATTGTGTCATAATCCAGAAGATCTCTCTTTGCATTGTCACCTCAGATCTCAATAATTTACTTACCTACATCCTACTGGAACTGCAGGTTCAATCGGGACATTTTCTTTCGCTTTCTCGGCAGAACTGCTTTTTATGCCTCCCATTATCCAGCTCCTAGAACGTTGCCAGATGATTTGAGAAGTATTAATATAAGACATATAAATGATCATCTATTATTGTCAAGCACATATCCAACCATCCTGCACTTGCAGGAGAAATTAAAATCTAAAACTCGGTGCACATACAACTGCAAGATGGAATCCAGAAATGCAAAAATCTCAGAAAAGAGCCGTCAGTTTGAATCTTGAAGCAAATTCCTTTGAAATGTTCCATAATTTGTACCTCTTACTACAATACAAATATACTTACGGGACAACCTGACCGATTGCAGACTTCATTTTACTGACCACTGCTTTGGTAACGCCTGCAAACACAAGCGCCGGTTCTCCTTCCAAGGCATAGTGAAATCCAACATAAGGTTTCTCACCAACAGCTAATATGAGAGAAGTCTGTGGGGCAGTGGAGCGGTAATTTGTGTTGAAGCCTCCGCACAAAGACGCCGTTACTAGGTGATCAAACGTGCTGTCTGTAGCTGGACCAACAACCTCCAAGTCAGCCACCCTATCCTGTTCAGTAAACCCCCATTTCTTGTACCTGAGAGGAGGTGGTCTTATCATGTCTCCACAATTTGCTTGCACTGAAACAAAAGTCCAGAAGAAAAAACTTACAAGCAAGAACCTACAAAAAATACATTACTTATATCTGCCTGTACATCTGTCTATCCATTAGTATGTTTCACCTCAAAAAACTATTTGAATATGGAAAGAAAAAAAAATTATTCATAGATTTCACAGTAAAAGTACCTACAAGAATTTACTTTTTGTGTACGCTGATCAATTACAATCCCTACCAAAAATAAATCCCAAAACTGAATTTCACAACATTTTTAAACTTGGCTCATTAAATAAACACTCCATTCAGACCTAAAACATGTTCAATAATAAATAACAAAATTCAAGGAAATGTACTGTCTCACTTTATACAGTATATTGTACACGGTGCTTCACAACCAGTCTGCCATATATCAGTGGGTGATTTGGGGTGTAATTCTCAGTAAAACATGTTAATGCAACACTGGTCATATTTCCAACCATTGCGGAGCTAGACATTTTAAGCCGTGCCAACAACAAGTACCTACTATTGCGTACAGTGACAGATGGCAACACTGGCGATGGTTTTGAATGAAGATCTTACCACTACTGACACTCACTTCCTGACAAATGAACTGCTGCTTTTAATGGATGTGCCTCTGAAGACAAGGCATGGGCCTCCATATTTTCTTCAAGTTATGGCTTAACTGAATTGGTGTCATGAAAATAATTGAGCCACTCGTCACGGTCCAATATCTTGTTCGCCCAGACCTCTAGACCTCAACCTACTTGATTTCTCTAAGTGGGGAGGAATGACAGAAATAACATACAGGACCAAAGCACGCACACGAGAGGAACTTCTGCATCAGATTATGGACACTGCTGCAAACATATGTGAACATCTAAACTGATTAAAAAGGCAGTAAACTCACTTGGAACGGGTGGGGCTGTGCATTAAAATAAACGTCGTACATTATGATCAGTTATAACACGTATCTGATAAAATTTAGCAACAAATTAATCTGATTAATATTCTTGTTTATTGTTCCCTAAACTCACCTTGAAACCATCAACAACAAAAACAGAACCAATGCTGTTTCAACATTCTTTATTGAAAATTATGTCCCGATCACCCCCTCAATAAATAGCACGCACGTACACACACAGTTCCTAGCTGCAAAATGTATACCATGAATGAGTACACCCCATATGACAAAATATAACCTCCCACCAACCTGGAACAATATCTCCCTAAACAGTGTAATTCTAAAAAATTTACGTTGACTACGATACTAACAAATACTTTCAGAACAGCTCCAAAAATACAATGTAATGAAATAAAAAATTGTCTACGAGACTTGCCATAGAAGACATTATCTTTAACACAAGAAATGACGTAAGTGTGGAATATGTTTACTGCGGTTCATATGGAAAACACACGTGACAGGATAAATGACGGCAATAAATTGTCTCTGTACTAACAGAAACTGGGGCAATTCATACATTACAAAGAACATGAAAATGAAAAGTAGAGGATATTGGAAAAAGTAAAATGAAAGGAAATTGCTGATGTCGGCTATGGGTCGTAATGCTTCATGAACTTAAGGGCTGTAGAGGGAGACAGTCATTTCTCTGAAACATTGGTATTTGGCTACAAGTCCATACGGCATTATAATGTGAACTTCATCACCAATAAAACCTGTAAAAGAATTTGTAAAAAAAAATACAGTGACATACTGAAAACGAAAAGTTCTGCTGAAATACAAGTGAAGATGCTAAGTAAATAAGGGATTAAATAAATAATCACAGCATCTATGTGGCTAAAGATCTTCACAAATTCTCAAGGCTCAGAGTAACAACTACACTACACTCATTAATCCTAAAATACCTCTTGCCAATTGATTGCGACAGGCACGCAACGTCTCAAAAAGGCCAGAGCCCATCAGAACACATACAGCACTGCAGCACACGACATACAGGTCTTCACTGTGCTCTTGTGCTGTTGAATATCTCGCTGGTTCGAAAGACTGGCACTTCAGATGGGTAACTGGTTCATTGTGGAGCTGCTCTGACAGAAGCAGATTGCAATTCTGGAAACAAGACATTATCCTCTAACGGAAAAACATGCCATCTTAACTGCAGAAGTGTGAATAGTTCCAACTACTCTGTTCAAGTTTGAATTTATTTTAAGAAAAGATTATATATCAACAGAAATTCAATACTGGCCAAACAGATTTTTATAAAATTTAATAATAGAACAACCTACAGAAAATTAAGTGATGAAATTTAATGTTGGTCCATACTGGATAATTTGGGCTATTACGCTGCATGAAATTGTAATACCATATTAAAATTTCAAATGTTTATGTTATTAACCTTTACCACACAGGAACAGAGTATTTAAACACCCCATACTCCCTGATAATAGCCAGATTTTAACTAGTAACAATATCAGAGTTAATAAAATGTCCATGTCCACGAAGTTGCTGATGCCAAAATACTGCAGGCAAATGTTTTCAGAAGAAAATATGTTGCCAAATTATACTTTAATATTACAAAATACTTTTTTTTCCCAAAGCAAATTACTGATTCCTAAACTATATTTAAATACAAAATATAAGTAAAAATGAACAGGTCCCAGCCCGAGAAAAGGATAGAAGGATCCTGTTCATATGGACCTGTCGTCAGACAGAACACTAAATAAAATATAAACTCCAGTCTATCATATTCAAAATTGTACTAACCTCTGTGTAAAACTGAACAAATCCTGATGATAAGCCAACAACGACACATGTCCAGTCTGGACCACAGTGGCTGCTCTTTCCTTGGGAGATTAATGGCAGACATAGGACTGAGGTTATCTGCTCGCTGAGAGGAAGAAGTTTGGTTCTTTAAAAAAAGTCACTTCAAAGTGTGCAACATCTACGACAAAATATCTAAGAACATTACGTATTAACTTACTTTTCATTTTCACAGAGGTTTCCACGCCATGTTACATGATACTTGGTCTTGACCTCTCCTTCTTCTTGTGAATCCCATTTTGCTATGTAAAGAATAGCAAACCACAAGACAATTAATTTGATTTGAGGCAATTCCTGTGGCATTTACAATGTTACACATTTCACTTTGTTACTCTGTTCACAATGCCAATTCCTTTTCAAGTCACACAACTTTCATAACCTTCTAATACCGATATTATCAATACATAAAAACAAGCAACACAATTAAAAAATTAATTCTGAATCCTGAAAATGAGTTGCTATCTAAAATAAGGTCACTGTAGTTTCTTATTCCACTTTATGAAACAATTATTAAGCTTGTGCATTCTTTGCATGAAATGCATAAAATAAATGCACATACAGCTGATAATTCCTGCCCAACTGTCTGTCTGTAGTGCATGGTTTAGCAGGTTGTGTTAAAACAAATAAGCCACAACTTCTGCTCAGAAATAAATAAATTCCAAGCTTTCATATCTCAACTAACGTGTAAAATTTGGCTACAATCTGCAGAGTTCACCACGCTGCAATGCTTTTTGGAAACTTGCTGGACACTTCAATAGACAGGCTGAGGTGGCAGCTATTATAAGCCACGTCTTGCTATTGTTACTGTGCATAGCCGATTCCATGAGTTTTAATAAACTCCCTTCTCAATCACAGAATACACTACCCTTTGATATGTACAAGACATGACAAAGCATACTGAAGTTTTGTTACAATTTTAAAAATAATGAAGAGTTTATTTCATTTCCCCTGTTGGAAATTGTGTACAGATAATAAAAAAAGTTCATGGCATAAAAGAGAAGAAAGGAAAAGATAAAGGAAGAGGAGCAGTGGCCTAGAGCACATAAAATATTCACTCAGCCAGTCAACAAATTTACTGCCCTTATTAATGAACCCCAAAAGTTCAATACAGGGCTCATTAGAGCCTGCCAGTGATCGCAATCCTGGGCTAAACAAATACACCCAGTTTCTTTAACATCAAATATTTTTATAATATCCTTCCACCTGTGCCTACGTCTTCCAAAGTGCCTTGCCTTATTTTTTATTTCTTAACATCTTTAAAAATGCTGTATAAACTATGTTAAATAATAAATACAGAATTAATCACATACTTACAGTATTTTTAAAAGTTTAAAGCATGGTTATTGCCCTGTATGTTACGATTTAAAACGTTCCTGAAACCACCTGCATTTATGTCACAAAAGGATCAGAAACAGTGTGATGGTATAGGAGACTCACATGTCAAAATTGTCATACGATTCCTGTGGGCAATAACAAGCAACTCCCATGTTGGAGAAATTGACAGGCAACATTCTTGTAACCAAGCGTGTTCCTTGCCGTTAAAATTTTGTGAGTCTTCGACTGGCCATTCCCAAGGATCGGGAGACTCTGCATTAATAAAAACAATTCGGAAAAGCAACATTATTAGACACATGGCATAACACACTTTTCTGAACTTGGTATACATCAATGTCAACAAAATTATTTAATTACCAGCCCCATTACCCGAAGGAAACAAACAATTTTTAACACTGTCCACGTTAATTAAACTGGCAATTGTTTTAATTTGACACGACATATTAGAACTTTCCAAATGTATTTTTGTTACACACTTCTACCCAACAATATCAAAGCCACAACCAATAGATCATTTTCATCTGCCACTGCCGTTGGATCGTAGTAACCGATGTTGGTAATAGTTTATGGTAGTAACCATGGAATATAAACGAACATTTTGTAAGATTTGAGGTTTTCATGGCGGTGACGATAATTTCGACTGTGGACCAAGAGCTATGAAGATTTATTGGGCCAAAATTTCGTACAGACTACCGTATAATCTATGTAGAATACATGGCATCCCAAAGGGATAGACAAGTTGTACTTTACGTCCATAAAAACAGATTTAAGTGAATTCGATTTTTCTTCTCAACTTTTTCAGACCTGGTGGACACATTACGTGCATTATTTCCGTTTATTATTCGACTACAATATTTTTCATTTGCATTTTATCATGTACATCTACATCGTGAGCCTGCTTGCTCAGGAGGTGCTGCACTCTACTGTCCACAGATAATACCAACATAGCGCTACTATCTTCATTTATATAAATAGAGAAAATGGGATTACGTTGAAAGACAGAGACAATTAAGCCTGTTTGTTTTATTTTATTTACGATATCTGGCCCACTAAAATTTAATTGCAGACAGTGAAAACGTTAAAAAAAAAGGTTCACAGAAGGAAATGTTATAATTGGCATTTCTTGAAGCATGGAAGCTGGAACCAGAGGTCGGATAATCGAGGGTCGGTTGTCAGAGGTTATACTGTACCTACAATTGTGAAACCCACCAAACTTACATAGTTATTACAGTTATGAAACTTTTCCATTGTTTCTCTTGCGAACCAGACATTAAAACAGAAGTAAATCCCATTCTTAACCAGCGAAAAACATTTTTTCGCGAAGAATAAACGATAAAGACTCGTGCATAATCACACAAAGCCTGTAATAAAATATTAAGCAACTGACATTTTCTCGCCTCTGCTGTATTATATTGACATCCGAAGTAGCTGAATTCGACTGCCAGTTGTATTTGCCCATTGAACTACGCAATCTTTCTCCCAAAATTACGTGCCAGGAAACTGACAACGCGTTAATTTCAAGAACGTCAAAATTTGCGCTCTTATAATTTTCTTTTCAAATGTAATAAGTTATTGAAATAATTCGTTCTATTTTCACATTGCTACCATGTTGAAAATTAATCCTGCAGCAATTTTCATTAAGAAGTATGAATAACATTTATTTTTTCATAATAATATGTACTCTATAATAAAGACATTTTCTGTCTGTACTAAGCTGATCTTGTCCTCGATCGTAAATGTTTTATATTTTGATAGAGATGTCAGTCCCTTCATGACCATTTCACTCTTCCTGACTCATCGCATTTTAGTTTTTCCTTCGACGCTTCTCAGACGGTGTAAACAAAACAAACTTGTCACCAGGAGTTGCATAGCTCCTGGCGCTTTAACCCCGGGTACCCACTTCGTTTCCCGGCGGTGCCCGGATTTATAACTTGTGTTGGGCAAGGGCGTGGTCTAGGCAACACGGAGTTTTCCTCCGTGGCATCCCAACAATTACTCCATTCACACACAGAAGAAGGCAATGGCAAACCACTTCTGGATCGTCTGCCAAGAACGTATATGAACAGGTCCCAGTCCGAGAAAAGGATGGAAGGATCCTGTTCATATGGACCTGTCGTCAGACAGAACAATAAATAATAATAATAACTAAGCTGATATCAATAAAGACGAGCGAGTTTTCATAATTAAATTTGTTTCGTCTAACAGCCTGAAAAATGATTTCTCGCGACTTCATTGCTTAAACTTCGTGTCCCGAGATTTGGTTAATTCACTGGAACAAGTCACGAGTCCCGCATATTCCCACACGGCACTTTACTTTTCAACGGGATTCCGGTCCGGATTATCGCTACCCGGAAGACTGCACGTGTATGGACCAAAACTGACCGTTTTGAAGAGGGTACTTTTTTTTTCAAACTGGAACGACAAAAGTCAAATTGATTTGACATTTTTGCTTTTGTGAAGTTTAGCGACGTTTCAGAGGTCCTTGCTGCATACATTATCAGTGCATCAAGGACCACTGAAACGTCGCTAAACTTCCACCAGATTACGTGGTGCTTCAACTCAGAAGACAGCCATCTTCGGACTCATCGTCTGAAATCTTACATTGTAAGTCATGACTTATGCTTAGTATTTGACTGGCTGTCAAGGTTTTTTTGTTTTTATTCAGTCTGATAATGATAACGCCCAGACACTGCCTTGAAATAAGCCACGGTCACTTCCTCCTACGTTTTTTTTTCAAATGCAATCATTCTGTCAGAATATAATACACAACTTATTCAATCAAGAGATATACGAGTCAATAGTAATTTAACAAAAGAAAACTTGTTTTCGAGTTTGGCCGTCCAAAGTTCAAGTCGTGCTGTTATTCGGGTCCCAAAGATCGTTGCTTCGGGAACTGTGATTACGAAATGGATAAGAAGTTCTTGCTCGTTCAAAGTGGCGCCTTCGTGATCCGCCTCGCGTCGGAGTTCATATCTACGTGGAAATTAACTAAGTTTTCAGTCCTGTTATTTTATTAAGGCGAAGAAAATTTGGTCGAGTCCAAGCCACGGATTGTAAGGTGGGGGGGCAGGGGGATGATATCTGCTAAGCACAACAGAGATCTCGAGTGAAGCTCTTTGAGTTGATGACACCAAATTTAAATAAAGTATACGGCAAAACTACGTACATAGGTCCTTGCTGCCTCATCATTGCCCTGATGATGGAAGCAGCAAGGACCTCCGAAACGTCGGTAAACTTCCACCAGACTCTACACGGCGCTACAACCCAGAAGACAGCAATCTTCAGACTCACCGCCGTGAAAACTTCAAGTCCTACGATGGAAATTAATGTTTTATATCTTTTTAAAGGAATCTTGTCACGTGTGTACAGCATTTTAGAGGTCATTCAAAAAATTTAAGTTGTTGTCAATTAAAATAAATGTTTCGAGGTTAACAATATTAAGTACCTTTATAAATCTAACTACAAGATTTTTCCTCTCGCCAGCAAATAATATTAAGATGTTCTAACCTCGAACTTTTTGAAGCCTTGAAGATTTGAGAGTTTTATAATTTCATCCTCCTTCGTATAAATTCTATATGTACGGTTTCATAGACGAATATCACATTCTCAATCGATTTGTTTACCAAGAGAACACTTCGGTTATTTTCCCAATTATATCAATACGAACCACGATTACCATAGCAACTGCGTTAAACATTCAAATAACGCATAACAGTGATTCCAAGTGTTAACCACGGCAACTACTGCAAACAGACAAATTCTTACTATGGCCGTCAGATGGTAGCACCCCAATGCCCACCTCACGAATTTCTTCATGTTGTTATCACCGCTCAAAAGTAAAATTCTTAAGCAGTGCTGGATGGCTCAACCTCCACATAAAATTTCAACCAAAATCCTTCCAGTGGTTCTCGAGTCGATTCGACTGGACAGACACGACCAGCCTATAATGTTTTGTCGCTATGCAGAGAAAGAAAATAATTACAGACACCCTTACTCCGCGAACACCCAAGTGCCGGTCAGAGATGAAGAGGGTTTAACTTAGGACCGAAGGTAGTATGATAGTGTGCAGATTGGTCAGGGCTATCGCACACCTCGTGGATCGGCGGTGGAATGGCGACTGGCATGCGAGCAATGACATTTTGTGCGATGCTAATTCACCCAGAATTAAACCCGGGTCTCCGGAGTAAGAAGCCGGCGTCTAGCCACCTTGATTTCGGCCAGGCCTTCATTATAAGACTGTGTAGAGGTCGCGCGAGAAGTGATGTCACCTGCGCAAAGGACTGATTTTGGTCGTACGAGATGGACCCGTCCGAAGCACGCGCTAGAGGGGTGTCAGCTTCAGTTGGTTTGCAGCTCTAGCTGTGTTTAGTTCGGTGCGTCACCCCTCCCCCCACTACTACTGAACTCCCCTCTCTCGGCTTACATTCGGTGCCACGACTACTCGCGCGACCTCTACAGATCGTGTTTGAAGAACTTAATAAAAACTGACTGACCAAGACAGTTCACAGGATTACACTAGTTGTTATCATGACAACAGGTCATAGGTCACAGTCGTTTATCTGTTGCGCAGGAAATTCTCGGAACTGAATACGTCCCGCTGCGTGCTCTGCGCTGGGAAATCCAGCTCTCACACACGCAGTGTCTCGACGTCGATTTACATAAAACAATGGCTTTCCGCGCTGAGTGTCGATACAAAAAGCCTGTCTTCTGAAAAACACAGCAGAGTGGAGGCTGCAGTCCGACGTACCACCAGTTTTAATGTGGAGTTGTGCCAGTGTAGTCGCGTGTTCTTATCTAAGGCAGGGTGATACGAGCTAAGGTTTCTTGGTGGCCGCTTAGTGCGTGAGTGTGCGCGCAAGTGCGCAATTTGTTTACAATACGCAGACTAAAATAAACCAGTGCGGGAAACTTTCAGAAGTCTGTTGGCAGGTACAGTGAATGAAGATTTACCGATGTCTGATTTTTATGGTAAAACAGACAATCCTCTTATTCACTCCCGGGCTTTGAAGTTAACCGTAATAGCTTCCTACAGTTCCCGGGAATGACCGATTTATTTACAGTAGCGATGTTTCGTGGGCCCAGATCTTGCTGTGTTAAGGAATTTGTTAAAACTGATCCCACTCACTCACAGGCTGTATACAATTCTGGTTCTTAATTACAAAATCGCATGTCATAATTAGGAGTTTTTTTTATTATTTAGTGTTCTGTCTGACGACAGGTCCATATGAACAGGATCCTTCCATCCTTTTCTCGGACTGGGACCTGTTCATATACGTTCTTGGCAGATGATCCAGAAGTGGTTTGCCATTGCCTTCTTCTGTGTGCGAATGGAGTAATTGTTGGGATGCCACGGAGGAAAACTCCGTGTTGCCTAGACCACGGCCTTGCCCAACACAAGTTATAAATTCGGGAATCGAACCCGAGACCCCAGGATTACAAGGCCAGCGTTCTAACCGCTAGACCACCGTGGCAGGTTAATTAGGAGTACATTATTAAAATGGATCTTGAAGAAATTAGTCCATTGGCAAGCTAATTAATTTTTATCCACGCGTTCTCAACCATTTAGAACAGACATCGATTATTTCCCTTAACAACATTAACCAACTCGTCCTAGCGACAGAGATGTATCTCGATTTCTTTGAGGCAAGAACTCAATTGAACTTCGGACTTCAGGGAGTTACTGACGTCAATATGTAGCAATTACTTTCGATTTGAGCATCTGTAGAGCGTACTGAAGATTGGTACGTCTGCTAAATACTCGGAATTATGTGTGAGAGTCACATTAGCAGAAATTAAACCTAAAATCGATGTTTAACTAAAGCAAAAGTAATGCCAAATCTCTCAGTGATGACTGATTTTGTCAAAGAACATTTCTGAAGAGAATTTCAACCTATTTGCAATAGTTTATTGATTTAGTGGTATTTATTTTTTAATTTTCGTGTCGTTTCAATTGTCCTCGTTTATAACCCTGCGGCCTGCTTGTCGATAATAAAATGTAAAGACGATTCCAAGGCCCGAAGTAGTTGCGTCCTCTTAATCTAAAGCACGCTTAAGATAAACTATCTGTAAACAAAGATGTAATGTAAAACCCAATGCATGGACAGTGTTTCGAAATTTCCTGTCGGTTTCCTCACTTCGCCTTCGCAAATTCCGAATGTGTGTGAAGTAGACCACGACTTCATCCTCCCACTTCATAACCACTAGCTAATCTGCAATCGGAGTTAAGTAACATTCATGAATCCATTATTCTCTGTGTAAACTGGATATAAATAAACATACGTTTCCTATTTTATGATTGTATTAGACAAAGTAGTTGTTCTTGCCTGCTGACATCTGTTGTCAGCGTCAGCAAACATCGAATGTCATCATGGACCGGCCTCTTTTCCTCATTTAATCTGCATTTATTTTTATGGAGACGTCCATTTCATTCGTTACACTGTAGGGTTGAAGTATTTCATAATTTGAAATTACAGATTCGTTGCGACAGCCACCCGGAACACTGCAGTGTTTATTAACACCGATATTTGTCACTTACAGCACAAGAGGACCGGCATTTATGTGACCTGCTTCACAAAAGAAGCCGGACTGAGGATTTTTCACAAAAATCGAAGACGGAGAATAGAATCGATTTCGAAAATATTAAGAAAAGGACGTGCAAGAGACTCAGACTTTGAACAATAATGACAAACAGCAAAGATAATAGTGAAAACGTGAAAATGAAGTTTCCCGGACAATTAGTCGATTTCGCGCCAGTATTAGCAAATGCGAACCCTGACACTTGTAGGGTGCTGGAAGGAAGCTTAACGGGCGGCCTTAAGATCGACGTACGGACGATTGACTTGGCAGTGTCGACAGTGTTTGTGACTCCTTTGGTAATCGGACAGTGGAGAGGCACGTGGATGCTGGCTGAATACTACAGCGTGCCCTGGTGGGCGTGTTTCCTCACCGGAAGTACCCTGCACTTCATGTTCGCCCTGTTAAAGGACATCCTCCAGAATTACTTCAGCAAGAGGAACCAGCACTGTCTTACCTTCTCACCCCTGTTCATGTTTCTCGTGTCTCGCGCCTACACTTGGGTGTTCGGGGTCGCTTGCATCTCTCATTGGCGCGGGGCTTGGGCGATGGTGGACCACTACGCAGGTCGTCAGATCGGCCCCGTCATTGGCGTCACCCTGGTCAGCCTGGGAATGCTGTCCGCTACGAAGACCCTGAGGAACATCAATACATCCCCGTTCAGCATCATCGTAGACGGCCTGGAGCCCGGATTCACCTTCCCAACCATGTTCCGCACTTCTGTAAGTACACTGATTAAGTCTTAAGACCTGGAATCAGAGAGAAGGCTTATGATTCAATTCCTTGTCGTCGGAAAGGGGCTGGCATTCGCCACCGACGTTTAGACGACGTCTACCCATAATACCCGCGCATCCTCCTCACGTTCAGAGCGACATTGATATGCCGCAAACTTTCTCAATGAAACTGATAACCTCAGAAGCGACCTGTAGGTCAGAACATGTACCGAAGAGTTCACTTGCTCAGTTCTTAAGAAATCTATGGTAGAGGCCGAGCGAGAATTGGTGGAACATGCGCAAAGGACTGATTTTGGACCCGTCCGAAGCACGCGCTAGAGGGGTGTCAGCTTCAGTTGGTTCGTAGCTCTCGCTGTGTTTAGTTCAGTGCGTTACCGCAGCTGAGGCTGTGCGACCCCCCCCCCCCCCCACTACTACTGAACTCCCCTCTCTCGGCTTACACTCGGTGCCACGACTACTCGCGCGACCTCTTACAAACGTGTCTGGAAGCGTTATAACATTAGGACAGCTTCGAAATGAAATTAGGAATTTGCTGGTGAAAAGTAGACGAGAAATAAATGACTAACAGACGTCGCATTGCTTCTACAAAACCCTATAAGACTGTGGTAGAAATTTCATTTGTCAAAGGACACATGGATACAGTCTCAAAGGGGGTATTCCAGAAAAATTAAACGCACCTATGAATGTGGTCATTGAAAGGGTGTGATACAGTCAGGAACTTACATATTAAGTTTGATTGGGATAAGTTACATTAGATTAGGTTGCGTTGTATTGGCTTAGGTTAGGTTAGGTTAGATTAGACTGTGTTGTTCTGCGATGGGCTAGTTAGTCCTGGATGATTTCTAACGTGTTCATTGGGTGGTCGTGTGTGTGTACTCACGTATGGACTACACCTTTCCAATCTCTTCCTTTCTTCGTTTTAATTCTCCACTGATGTTACTGCAAATGGCATAATATCCGGTTGATGAAGCCTGATCGTGGTTGATGAAATTCTGAGGACCGTGGACGGCTGTTTATAACCTAACCCGGTGACTCGGCACTGCTCGCCCCAGGACGAAAACGGATCCAGTTTCTGAAAAACGAGACTACAAGCAAAGTTCAGAAATCCAAAAATGCTGATCGTCAGAGCTCCCTAGAACTGCGACATATGGAATGGCAGTAGGGACTAGGGTTTTTATGCGGCCCTGGACGCCACGAACTCTGTCGAAAATAAGTCAACAGTCTGAAGAAGCGAACAGAGAAATTACGTTACATGATCCACTTAGAGATCAATAATTTTCTGCCAGTTCTTAAGATATTAAACGGTGATTATGAAAATATACTTGTCATTATGAGCTGTAGAAACTGGGTCACTACATTTCTATGTCCCGTAACTTTTCTGACTGATTTATCGAGTTGGCGCCAGATCAGTGGATGGTAGGAACATTTTAACCACACGAAAAATATCGTTTTATATATATTTCTTTTGTCCACCAGCCACCAATTCAGACTGAATCGATAATTAAATTCAGACTAATTTAAAACCGAAACGGCACTTGTCAGAGTAGAAATTGTGTATCAAACTCACCACCTCAACTACTGATGATTTGCCGTTATATTTTACGTCTGGGGAATCCCTTACCAAAGACCAGCGGTCGTCCCTCCGCTCGCCCTGGTGTCGCTTCTCCGAAGTGAATATTTGTTGTCGAAAGCGTTACCAATGCGAATTACTAACAGCGCCCGAGTTTCCTGAAAAGATTAAGTTCTGAACCCAGAAAATGAATTTTTAATTAGATTTTACACACTAAAACTCTGCTAGGCTAAATCCCATCCCGTGACTGATGATACAAAGTTTGTGTTATCCCACTGCCTCGTCTCAGGAAATGTCTACCTTTCAATCTAGAAGTCAATTTAAGATCGAATATTTGATAAATTCAGACTAGGAACAAAACCGCTCAGGTCTGGTTGGCATATTAAATGAAGGTCTTTCAATGAATAAGTTGGTTCAAAAAGTGACTTAACTTGGTATTCATTTTCCACCAGCAAATCATGTTCAGATCCGACAATACAGAATCTCCGCACGGTACCTCATATTACGTCACGACTGCTTCCTTCAAAATCCTTTCCAATTCATTAATCATTCCGCCATTCAACGCTGTGTACTCTGAGCTTCTGAATGCGTCGTTAAAAATTGGTTAATCACCTTCTTCTAGTAATGAAATTAAGAATGAATGGAGTTGTACCTACGGTCTTCATGTCGCAGCGTAGGGATGATTTTCCTTAAAAGCACGACAGCGATTTGCTACGATCAAAAGGCGAAACATGTAGTCTGGAAGCGTTTCAGGATTCGTTGGTCTTGACTGTAAATGATTTTCCCCAATTTAATTTTAAGGCTTTGACCGGGATGTTCTTTTGTTAAATCTTATGTGGTACCGCCTGATTCGACTTCTAATGGTTAAGTGAAGTGTTTTCTTCGCGGTACGGTCTGGATTCGTAAATATTATGAAGACGAGCTTCGGCTTCAAAGGGTTAACCAGTTGATTTTCGTAATGGTGAGGTGTAGTGTTTTCTTCGCGGTACGGTCTGGATTCGTAAATAATATTCAGACGATCTTCGGCTTCAAAGGGTTAATACGAAATTTTGAAAATTCTTATAAATGTTCATGAAAGTACTTAACATTGTGGGCTATAAGTCACGACTTACTGAAACAGTCACTGCCCAAATGTTTTCGTTGTGTCTTCAACCCCTCGAAGCACAAATTTCGTCTAAATTATGTGCGATAATTCGGCTTGAATTGTACCTTAAGGGAATCAAAGTTAGTCCCCACTACTTAGGTAAATTGCTTAATGCTGGTTAGGGGAACATCCGAGAATCACGAAAGGTCATTAAGCACCTCATAATCATTTATTAAACGAAAAGCTTTATCTGCCCTCAAAAATTGCGTATTTTCATTTTGGAGAAGTGGCAATCGGCCGCCAGCGAACTGCACGAAAGCCGACGAGTTGCAGGCAAATTGTCCGACAAGTATCAGACCTACACCACTCTGTGCCACAGCCCGCCGTGCACATTTAGTGGGAGGAGCATTTTGCATTTAGTGGGACAGGGGGACGTGACAGATCCAGGCTGAATCAGTGAGCGTAGGTGGAGAAGTCCGCTCTTCACGGCGTGTAAAAGTGTTACGCAGGTCTTGATGGGTTGACCGGTCAGTGTTTATTGCACACAAGGATTGTTGATGGTCATTATGGCAATCATGATGATTGTAACAGCAGGGAATGTGTTCTGAGTGTGGTAGACAGCTCTGGTCAGTTCAGACCGTACGCCATGAGAGCTAGCACCGCTGGAATTTCTGATAACTTCGAGGGTTCCAGAAGCCACTACATGCTCCTGTCCGTTCTGGACACGGCATTTTCAGCACTGGTAGTGTCTCCAGCTGTGATTGGCTACTGGCGCGGTACTTGGATGATTATGGACCGTTACGTGTTTCCAAACCAACATACTTACAGTTCGTGGGTGTCAGTCGCCATAGGTTACCTCGGACATGTACTATTCACCTTGATTCAAACGCCGATAACAAAACGTTTCCACCCTGATCAGCGCTGGTTGTCGTATTACATCGTGTCCCGTCTGTATACGGCGGTATTCGGTTTCGTATGTGTCAATTCGTGGCGGGGAGTGTGGCGACTCCTGGAGCATTACACCGGTCATCACATGGAGCCACTTCTAGGCACGACGGTGGCCAGCATCGTCGCTCTGGCAGTCTTGAGGACGCTGAGGAACATTTCGTCACCACCCTTTTCCGTAACGACTGACTGCTCTGAAGGCTACTTCCGGGTCCTCACTATGTTCCGTGCGTCGGTGAGTTGCATGAGATTTTTTCCTGACAGAACCGGTCTTAGTTAGAGCGACGTCTCACATCAAAAGGGCCAGGAAACGAAGATGTTCAGAGCTCAAAATATGATTTTCAAGATCCAGACGTAACACACAAACTGATTGAAGTTACGTCATCCTTGCTTTTATCTCATTCTTCGTGAACATGCCTACGAATTTAGTGTAGAATTCTTCCCTCGAGATGCAAAGTAATTGCAGACCTTCAATCTATCGTAATACTTTCTAAGTTCTGTAGTACTCAAATTCATAGCATTTAAAGGAGGTTACGAGTTCGCCGTGTCGTTTTGAAATTATGAAAGTTCTAAGCATTTCTTGCTGGTGAACAGAAATACGGTTTTCTTACATTCATAATTTCAAAGTATAAAACATCGAGTGTTCCTGAGGATTGACTGAATATACGAGAGATACCGTTTCATTCTCTCGTAATTCGAGAGAAGGGAAATGATTGATTTTCGAAAATTCAAAATAGTCGCTGTTCTTTTTTTCACTTCGTACTCTTAAATTATACGAACTTTTAACATTACAATATCGAAACGAATGGGAGATGCAGTGTGTCTGTCATTAACACGGGTGGAATGTCCACAAACATCAGAACAATTTGACAGAAATAAGGTGCCGGACGTGGCCTCAGATAAGTGTATACTGTGATTTTAATGCAACTGTATATCTTAAAGTATTTTATACGAAATATATTATTATAATCGCCGTGATCGGCAGGCACCTGTATACATAATACATCACGTAGTTTTATTCATAGCGGTTCTGAATGTCAATTGCTCACGTCAGATCCTACATGAGGCTGTCAATGCCTCTATGACTTGACGGAGAAGGGGACAGGGCGGCCGGATGGGAGTTGATGAAACGACCAGAACTGATAGGAGGCTGGCTGGACCCCTGAAGCACGATTCAGCAAACAGTGATCTTTGTGCGTACTACCCTTTCAAGAGAAATCACGCGTTTCGTATTCATTTTTTGTTCTTACGGAAATAACTCTACAGGCCTATAAAATATAATTACGGAAAGGAACACTTCAATTCTTTCCAATGAGTTTCGTTAAGATGTGTCATAAACTTTTGCTCTCCTCAACAAACGACGAATGCACAAACCAGACAAGAGCAGGGTGTCACCAGTGAGGAATCGACAGATAACTGCGACAACTTTATGGTCCAGCGTGACGAGCCACGTGTATTATGAGAGAGTATGAGAACAGCATCCTGGTCAGTCGTGTTGCTTATGAAAACAAGTAGATCTTATCTCGAAGGAAACACATTCTTTCTGGTTAAAAAATGTTTAGGGAAAAGATTGCTGGTGTCCAAAGGGAACCCATAAAAGAAGGACTTGAGGTTTTCACAGCGGTTAGTCTGAAGATTTCCGTCTTCTGGGTTGTTACGCTGTGTAGTCTGGTCGATGTTAACCAACGTTTCAGAGGTCATACTGCCTCCGTCATCAGAGTATGAAGATTTCTGTCTTCTGGGTT